TATATTATTTGTGATAAAGTAAAAGTATTGAATTGCTTAAAAAAACATCCAGTAAATTATCAGTATCAATGATCGAAACAAAATTAATTATTCAGTTTCCTATTATGGCTATCATTCAATAGACCTTTCCCTAGCGGGCCAATGGAATTGAACATCTGACCAATCAGAAAATGGCCAAGAATACGCGTTTGTCCCAAAAATGCACGTGTTTATGTACGCTTAATGCTGTCGATTTGTAGGACCTTAGCTAGTGGTGGGGTCCATTATTTAAAGTGCACAGAATAGGAGTGTTTTATGAGTTTATTATCATTATTGGTGTCTTACTTTCTATTAAAGCTAATAACTATACTTTAATTTACAAAATAAGCAATTCCAATATTAAATAAGTCAATGTGTGGTTTGAACTGCGCATGCCTGTATCAAAGGTCAATTGACATAAACCTATGTTGTGTGTATATTAATACGGGCATGCGCAGTTCAAACTACGAATTGGCTTATTAAACAATACAAATACAATTTTCAGCCTCTGGATAAGGTATCATGCATTAAAACACATTTAATTATTACAGTAGCGCCAAAAATTAGAGTTACTCCATCCCTCCTCTCAAATTTACTCAGAGTTCTTTATAGTTATACATTCCTATAATTACAAACAACAGCAGAAAATATACCTATGTATTAAAACTTTCATAAATAGAACTTTTGACACTAGTTTCAGCCTCAATAAATAAAAGTGTGTTTTTACAAAATTTCGTTCTAATTATTTACCGTGCAACTGTGGGCCTTTGGATATTTTTTTTTTCATTTTTACAGAAGCAGAAAGAATGTGTAGAGGTATAATTCTGAATATGAATACGCAATGGGTAATTCGAAAATATTTATGCACTTCGTTTCCATGTCAATCCTTCATTGTCTATTAAAGTATTCCAATATCTAACTTCTTGATAAAAAAAATATCTTTACAATATATTTTTTCTATCAATAGTTTCACCAACAAATCTTTATGAATAAGGTAAAAGTAGTATTTTTTTAACCTCGCCAGTATATTTCCACCAGGTACCCAATTATACTCCTGGGTGAAGTGAGGCAAACGTAGGCAAAGTGCCTTGTCAAGGCACACGAGCGAAATGCACACCTACCCGCAACCGCTGCACCAAACGCCCCCCACCATTCTTTATAAATAGATTTTTAAAAGTATTAAGAACAATGTGTAAATGTGCTAAATAATATTACAATGAGTGGCCTCTCAAACTCATACTAAGTGTAATTTTGTGTTTACAGATGTGAACAGTATGGAGCTTTTGATTAGTGTAGCAGTCATTTGCACATGTGACGACGTTGATTCTAGGATGTTGTTTGGTCAGAATCCACGTTGTGCAGAGAACGCAGAAGATTCACGAATGAGTGGATCCGTTCTATGTTCACATCGTTGCGCAAATCGAATCGAAAGCTCCGTACAGTTGTCGCTCCACAAGCAAGCTACCGTGATTTAGTATCCAGACCAGCTCCCACTCACAGGATTTCAAAATTTGAAGGATGAATTCTGAACGAGGTGCTTTAATTAGAACATAAACAAAAAGTCGTCCATCAAACTGCATTCAATTAGTCATCTTTGATCATCTTCCGCAGACAGCATGCAAGACACATTGGAATAAGCTGAGAGAAAAAAAAAAGAATAAAATACTGAGACAATTAGGAACCGGCACACGATTATAAAAAATTTAGAAAAAAAAACCAGGTGACTACGTATCATCAGATGATTGGGCCTATATGGATTTATTACAAAGTAGGCCTACTAACACAGATTTAATAATTCACTATAACGTGTTCGTATCATGTGTCCTGAACGCGCGATGGGAATTTTGGTATTGGTAGTGGTTGTAAACTTGTATAGCGTATAATAGGCCTAGTCTTTATGCGCTTTGAACAAAATGTCCAAAAAGAATGAAAGTGAAAGATACGGAAAGTAGAAGTGACAAATGAAGAAAGAAACAACAAAAACATGAACAATACCACAATTGGGTGGATAAGAAGGAAGAGAGAGAGAGAGAGATTAAAGCTTAACTTTAAACAAGGGAATTTTCTGAAGCAAATTCGCGATATTCCCGTATATCCATCTGATGGGAAGAGAGTTCAAGAGTTTTTGAGCAGCAGCCATCTTAATTACAATAGTGATACACCGAATATTATTTGTCAACGCATGCCAATATTGCGCAAGTTTGTATCATGTTAAGTGGTGAATCCTGGAATTCTGAATAGAAGAGGGAGAGAGGGCATGGAAGGAACTTTTACAGATGAATGTTCCACACCACCAAACAAATTTGGCGGGAAGGGAGAGGGGTGAACCCCGCTGGATCGGCTCTTCATTCTCATCATTTCGTTAAAACCTGATGTCTGTCGCGCTCAAAATGATACATTGCATACCTCAAAGACAAGCAGACCAAGTGATAAACCGCCAAGAATCAATAAATTCTTCTTCCCCCAATCGTCAAGAGCTTCAACGCAGCCCTGAGAGAGAGAAAAAACAGACAAGGTATTGATATATAAATACGTGTGTCTCGACAATAATTTATCTTATACATCGACATCATCATCATCAGCAGCAGCAGCAATTCCCCCAACTATTGTTAGACCTAATTACAAAACTACAAAATCACCAAAAAATCGTGCCAGAACTGAAAATAATTTTGATCATACCAAGTAAAGTGAAGCTATAGGTCGGTTGTTAATATACCTGCCCTCTAGCCTCGGGGCCCTGGGTTCAAACCCTATCAAACGATAGTTTTTCTCACAACTTAAAACTCAGACTGATGCGATGAGTCGTCATGAGACTGTTTGGAAGCAGTCGCGTCGTACAATATTAAACATGTTTAATATTTGAAATTGCCAGATTATTTTGATGTCTGTATGTGGC